ACATGTAGAGACGGTAATTGATTGATGAGTGGTAAATGGGATTGGCATTTGATTGCAATAAGCCCATAATGAAAAGAGTATATTATTGGAAAAGGAAGAATGGGTCTGTTAATGTTAAGGCCCAACCTAGAGAAACAATCAGTTAGGTCATAATTAGGAGGCAATTACAAGTGATGGTTGTTATAAAGGTCAGAGTTAGGAGAATTGAGTTGTCTTTTGTGAGTGAAAAAGTTTGTGTAGGAGGGATCTCTCGAAAATTTCTGACATTGTATGATAATAGTCGCACCTAATCTTTTTTTCCTCTTTCCTTGCTGTACCACTTCTAACACCTAGAATCAGAGCTCTGATCCGGAGTGGTGGGTTAGGCAAGATTTTGATTCTTGATTTCAATGTTTGATGTTCGATTTTGAGTTGGAGTGTTTGTGATCTGACGTCGCCCAAGGAGTTATGCTGAGACTGTGTTTGTGATCTTGGTTAGAAAATACTTGTTCTGCAATTGGGTGAAGTAAGACAACAGGAAATTAAGGAGTAGATGAATTTGATGGGACAATCCATTGTAGCATCCAAGGAAATGATGGAACGTAACATGAAAGACGAAAAGTGGGTTATCAAGGCACCCAAGATTCCTTTTCCACCTTTTGATGGGACTGTGTACAGAATGGAGAGCCAAATGTGCTATCTTTGCATTAGAAGAGGTACTAGAAACCCCAGAAATTTAAACTTCTAATGATGGCAATGGAGGGAAAGGCTTTTGCGTGGCTATGACATTACATTGTACAGAGAGGTAAGGATAAAATGAATTGGAGACAAATTCTTTATGATGTGGGTTGTAGGTTTGATGATGGTAACTATGATGATCCTTTATCAAAATTAACAAGATTGAAAGCAAACAAGCACTTTGGGAGAGTATTTGGAGGCCTTTGATGGATTGTTGGCTAGAGCAGGAGTAGAGGAGTTGGTGCCTTTAAGCGTATTTTTGGGAGGTCTGCACATTCCTTTAGAGAAATTATTTAGGCTTCTTAAACCCCAATCAGTACCAAAAAGTTATGAAGACTGCTAAGCTTCAAGAAGAGATTTTGCTAGAATTGGCAGGACACGGAATGGGGAAGAGATATATGACCATGCAAGAATTAGGGAGATTAAGCAAAATTGGGGGAAGCTATGTTAATAATTGGAGGAGCAGTACTATCCTTCCAAAGACTGATAACATTACAAGTTAGAATTGGATAGGTAAGGCCAGTAACAAGATTGTTGAAGTAGTGGAGGAAAATAATAAAGATAGAAGAATCTGACAACTGCCTGGTGCAGAGTATAAAGAGAGGAGGAGAAGGGGCTTTGCTTCACCTGTGAGGAGAAGTACACGACAGAGCATGTTTGCAAGAATAAACAACTCAGGGTAATGATTTTGGAATAAGTATACGATCCAGCAGAATTAGGAGTGACAAACAGGGAAGAGGATGAGGGACCTTGGGAAGGAAAATAGCTCAGCTGGATCTCTAGAGTATGGTTGGTCTTACATCAAAGAGATCACACAAACTGTGGGGTATGCTCGATAACACGGTCACAATTTTGATTGATAGTGGAACAACACAAATTTTTTTCTCAACAATTAGTAAGAATGTATTGGACTACCGGTCAAAGAAACCCCTCCATATTGGGTGAAAGTAGGAGATGGACATAAGGTGAAAACAAAAGGGATGTGTCAAGGATTGAATCTTCAATTGCAGTAGACATTAAGCAAGGTTTTTATCTCTTTGAATTGGATGGAGTGGATACAGTCTTAGGGTTAGAGTGGTTGGAAGAACTAGGTGAAATATAATTTAAAGAGCTCAAACAAAATTTCAAAATTAATGATAAGGAATATACCATAATGGGTGATCCATCTCTTTATAAAACATCAGTCTTAGTGCAACTGCAAACCATGATCAGAATCTTGAAGGTGGAGGAGCATGGATTTTTTTTGGTGGACTGCTATATGGCAAAACTTCAGCAACAAACTCAAGGTCAAATTTCAGAACAAATTCAAATTGTAGTGCGAGAGTATGCAGATGTGTTTCTAGAACCCAAAGGGGTTCCAGTTCCACCATTTAGAAGGCATGACCATGCCATTACCCTAAAGGAAGGCGCTTCTATTCTCACTCTAACGACAATGAAATTGAGAAATTGGTTGGTGAAATGCTTAAAGCAGGTATTATTAGACCAAGCGTTAGCTTCTATTCAAGTCCCATAATTTTAGTAAGGTAAAAATATGGAAGTTGGAGATTTTCTGTTGATCATCCAGAACTAAATAAGGACACTATTCCCAACAAATTTCCTTTAGCTGATATTGATGAATTATTGGATGAGTTTACAGGGGCAACAATCTTTTCTAAGCTTGATCTAAAATATGGATGTAACCAGATTAGAATGAAGGAGGTAGATATAAAAAGGACAGCTTTTCGCACACGAGGGACATAATTAGTATTTAGTGATGCCATTTGGACTTTTACTAATGCCTCTTCTACTTTTCAGTAACTTGTGAATGAGAGGTATTAAAGCCATTCTTAAGTTTTTTTGGTATTTTTTTAATGATATTTTGATTTACAGTCTGGATGAGAAGAGTCATGTTCAACACTTAAATTCATTTTGTCAACTGCTGCAACAACACAAATTAGTGGTTAATGAGAAGAAATGTGCATTTGGAGCTGCATAGGTTGAATACCTAGGATGTGATATTGGCTTATGGTGTTTCAGCTGATCCTAAGACGATTGAGTCAGTACACCAATGGCCACTGCCTAAAGACGTCAAGGGACTATGGATTTTTTTGGGATTACCGGATAATATAGAAGTTTTGTCGAGGATTATGGAAAAACAGCCAAACCATTGACTGATTTGCTTAAAAAAGATTAATTCCAATGCTCCCCAACTGCCCAAGAGACTTTTGAAACCTTGAGTGCAACCATGACAAATTTGCCAATATTGGCAGTTCCGGATTTTTCTAAACAGTTTGTAGTAGAGATGAATGCATCCAACAAGGGTTTAGGAGCTGTTCTGCTGCAAGAAGGAAAGCCACTAGCCTTTCTGAGCCAATCTTTATTGGAAAGAGCTCAATTAAAATTAGTATATGAGAGGGAGTTGACTGCAGTTGTGATGGCAGTACAAAAATGGTCGCACTATCTTATGGGGAGGCATTTTATCATACTCACAAACCAGAGTTTGAAGTTTCTAACAGATCACAACATATAGTAAATGAGGAGCAAATTAAGTGGACATACAAGCTACTTGGCTCTGATATTGAAATACAGTATAAACTTGGAAGTCATAACAAGGTGGCTGATTTTCAAAGGGAAGATTGTTTTATAAAGATCAATTGGTATTGCCTTAATCTTTTACTAGAATTTCTCAATTGCTAGCAGAATTTCATACTTAAGCAATAGGTCACTCTCAATTTTTTCGAACCTACAAGAGACTTGCAGCAGTGGTGTTTTGGGAGGGCATGCAGAAGGACATTTGTGCTTTTGTTGAGAGATGTGATATTTGTCAGCTTAACAATTATGAAATGTAAGTTCCTGATTGCTTATTAAAACCATTGCCAATACCTACTCAAGTTTGGAGTGATTTCCCTATGGATTTTATAACAGGACTACCTAAAGTGAAAGGGAAAGATACTATTCTAGTAGTCGTGGACCGCTTACTAAATATGCTCATTTTATCCTCGTATGTCATCCTTTTTCAGTTAAGGAGGTTGCACAACCCTTCAACTTTGAGACAGTTAAACTACATGGATTCCCCTCTTCTATTGTGACAGATAGAGATCAATTGTTTCTCAGCCATATTTGGGCTGAGTTATTCAAACAGCCTGGGACAAAGTTGAAGTATTGGCCTATCATCCGCAGATAGATGGCCAAACAAAAGTTGTCAGCCGATATTTGGAAGCATACTTTTGCTGTTTTTAAGGCACCAATCCCAAACAATGGCCTTTTTGGTTGGCTTGGGCAAAATATTGGTATAACAATTATAACAGCTCAACAAAAATGACAGCTTTTCAGACACTGTATGGCAGAGATCCACCTCTTCTTTTTAGACGTGACACTTTTCCCTCTAAAATAGAAGTGGTCAATCAACTTACAAAAGATAGGGATGACATATTGCAAAAGTTAAAGTAGAACTTGGAGACAGATAACAAAAGGAGAGAAGTGGAATTCTTGGTGGGAGATTGGATACACTTTAAGATGCATCCTTATAGGCTGAAGTCCTTGGCTAGAAAGTGCAAGGAACAGTTAGCTCCACAATTTTATGGTCCATATCAAGTTCTACAGAAGGTAGGCACAATAGCTTACCATTTACAGCTACCAGATTACTGCAAAATTCATCCAATTTTTCATGTATGCCTTCTAAAGAAAGCTGTCTCGAGCCTAGCTACAGTGTAGCCCTTGCCAACAGAGCTAACTGCAGAATGGGAATTACAACCCCCCATCCACAAGACGTCTTAGGATGGCAGTATAATGATAAAGGGGTGGCTGAAGTATTGATCAAATGGCAAGGTCTACCAAAATGTGAAGATTCTTGGGAGCAACTTGTTCTTACGTAGTCTCAATTTCCACATTTTCAACTTGAATGCCTTGGGAGGAAGTTTTGATGCCAATAAGCCCATAATGAAAAGAGTATATTGCTATATTATAAGAAAAGGAAGAGTGGGGTGCCAACTAATACCTAGAGAAGCAATCAGTTACTCATAATTAAGAGGCAGTTACAAGGGATGGTTGTTATCAAGGTCAGAGTGAGGAGAATTGAGGTGTCTTTTGTAAGTGAAAATGTTTGTGTAGGAGAGTTGCCAGGATCTCTCAAATATTTCTGGCATTGTGTGACAACAGTTTACACTGGGTACAAGGACTGTGTTTATTCTCAGTAATCTAAATCAATATTTTTTTTCTCTTTCCTTGCTGTACCAGTTCTAACAGCATTCATGAAGCAGTGCTTAATGTGTTATATGAAAGATTATCTATTTTTATTTATGCAGACATGGTTTCCAAGGGCAAACAGACAGCCTCGTTCACGGTCTCATCAAAATCCTTCGAATAGGAGGAGAAATGTGCCACAAGCTTCTTTCTCTAATAGAATGTTGCAGTCGAGGAGTCGCATTGCAAATCAGCCACCTATCATATCATCTAGAGGAAGACGCCCCCAATTTCCTCTGGATATGGACTTAGACATGGTATCTTCCTACCATTTCTCCTTTGTTCTGTTCTTGTTTTTTCCCTTATTTTACCTCACTTTGCATGCCATGTGATGGCTTTGTTATTTAAATTTCCTTGCGATGCATGCCTCAAACATCATGATTATTGCTTTCTTAGACTTCTAATAAGAGAACATTTTAAAATCAGCATTGTAAGATTTCTTTTATCTTAAGATCCAGATTGATTCTCTACTGCACCATTACCATTGATTGTGAAAGGTTGGAATCATGCTTCCATGGTCACCAAGGTATTAAACAAGGGGATACTTTTTCTTTGTTTTTGTTTACCTTAGTTGATGAAGCTCATCAAGGAGATTGCAGATGTTTCAATTGAATGGTTCTTATCACTGACTTTGTATCCGTATATATTTCTGCAATTGCTATGACTTCCAAATAACCCTTATATACCCTTTACTTTTGGTGCAATGCAAGAAACCACACTCTTTATCCTTGGGGCTTTCCTAGCATGAGATTTCCCTTGTCCCCCTTATTACTTTTATTATGGACTTGTTTCCCCAAGAGATTTTGGTAAAAGTAAGGAGGCTCAAAGCCCAAAACATTTGGTAGTGTGCAGTAGTTTTAGTTGTTATTTCATTTTTCTTAATAAGTGTTCTTCTAGTGTATTTGGTTGTAGTATAATGCTTGATGATTCCATGTCTGAAGATATTTCCTTGCATTTTTTCAAGGGAGTTTCTGTTTATTTTTATATACAGAAGGACCAGATAGCCTTGTTGCACTTTTTTTTGCTAGTTCCTGTTTTATTTATTTAAGAAAGCCAAAAAAAAAATGTTTTTACTTTTTCCATATTATGCTACTTATTTTCCATGTAAGCTACTGGTTTGGGGATTTAGGCTTGAGTAAATCATTGATATGATTTAATAAATTAAGGGGGGAGGGGGAGGAATGATAACAAGTAAAGCATGGGGATTAATTTAAAAATAAGTTCAGCGACTAAGGTCTCCCCATGTTTGTCACATCAGGTTCCATATAGAAGAGATCTATTGGAGTAGCTGGAATTATGAATTAGGAAAACATTTCTACACTTTTAACAAAAGCTAAGGGACTATTTGAACAATGAGAAATGGTAGTAACACACTCTTCAACACACACTGTGATTGGTCTATTTTTTAAAATGTCAAAGTATTTGCATAGTAAATTGATCTCTTTTTAAATTGCTTTGACTTTTTAAAAAATTGACCAATCACAAGAGATGTGTTGAATAGTGTTCAAAAGAATGTGTTGCTGACATTCCTCTGTGGACTAAATAAAACTTAAGGGACCCGAGTCAATTTAAAAGTAAATTGATCTCTTTTTTAAATTACTTTCACTTTTTAAAAAATTGACCAATCACAAAAGATGTGTTGAATAGTGTTCAAAAGAATGTGTTGCTGACATTCCTCTTTGGACTAAATAAAACTTAGGGGACCAAAGTCAAATCATAAAAACAAGTGAAGTACAAAAGTGTTTAAAGAATGTGTTGCTGACATTCCTCTTTGGACTAAATAAAACTTAGGGGACCAAAGTCAAATCATAAAAACAAGTGAAGTACAAAAGTGTTTATTTTTCCTTAAGCTTTAGCACATTAATATTCAGTTTGACTTTTGCTTGTGCTCATGCTATTGTTCTCATACATGTATCCGTGCAATTTTTTGTCCATAACTTCTATCTTCTTCTCATCAAATTATTTATATAGCAAGAACTTTTACTTAGTGTCAAAATAAAATGGAGTCTTTCTTAAAGCACTGCCTTCTGTGTATCAGAATTTTTATTATCATTGAATTTTTAAAATTATGGGTACTCTGTTGGGATTAGAAAGTATTTCTTAAGTATAGTTTGAATTTTCAATGGCATCTACCTCTCCTGTGCAGAGACTTGATATATTGGAAGCTTTAGAGGATGCTGTAGGGGATTTCAGTGATATGGGAATGGCTGATGACATCTTTCATACTCGACGTGATTTCAACGAGTAAGCTTCAATTGAATAATTTATGAACATAATTATTTTTCATTCTTGTGCAGAATGACACCAAACATGTTCTTATTTCCTCATTAAAAAGGCGGCATATTAGCAGATATCAGTATTCTCATTCTCTTTAAAAATCCATCTTAGATATTCTTCTTATAATGGATGTGAATGGAATATTGTAGAAATCACTGTGCCTGTTAGTATGTCCCACGTTAGCTAAGAATAGAGTTAGAATACTCCTTATAAGGGTGCCTGTATAGTTCTTTGATAGAACTGGACCAAAGGGGGATTAGAACAGAAAAGAAAAAGAAAAGAAGAGAGAAAAAATCTAGGAAAGAATTGTGTATTATTGAGAAATGACTCTTGTTGGGAAATGATACGCCCACACTAGTGCAGAATGCTTTACATCAAATTCTGTAAGTAGGGAATCAGGTATTCGAGAGCCTGATCTTTCCTAGTCCAATCCAAGTGATTAACTAAGATGTCCCTGACTTCCCTCTCTTTTATTTATTCCCCACTTGTGACTGTTACATACACACCTCACTTCCCTCTCTTTCCCCTATTTATGTCCTACAAACCTCACGCACTAGATGGCTAGTCCTTAGCATGACGAGGTATGTTAATATGTCCCACATTGGCTTGGAATAGAGACAAATTACACCTTATAGGGATGCTTGTGCAGTTCTCCACCTATGAACTAACTTTTGGGATTAAGGCCCAAGTTTCTTAACAGTGCCTGACAATTTAGAAGCAAATATATATTCTTTTAGGCTGAGAACTAATTATCTGATACAATGGTTCAGAAGGGATTGGGTTTGTTGAAAGAAAGAGAGAATTTTCGTTGGAAGGCTTTGAGATGAAGCCCATATGCCCAGAACAGTTCAACACGTTTTGGTCTGATATGGGCCCAAAGAAGCCTGTTATTTCTGAAGTGTATGGAATTTTTTTTTTGTGCCACCTTTTTTTTATTTGCACCACCTTTTTTATTCTGAATTCCAAAAGTTCAGGAAGGTATAAAACACTTCTGAAATTTAATTTCCAAAAGTAATTTGCAAATGATTTCCAGAATTTAATTTTCGGAAAGTATGAAATCATTTCTGGAATTTAATTTCTGAAAGTGACTTGCAAATAACTTCCAGAATTCAGTTTCCAGAAAGTATGATATCACTTCTTGAATATAGTTTTTGGAAGGTATTAAACACTTTTCCAGAAATTAAGTTTTGGAAGTCACAATAAAAAAGGTGTAAATAGCAAAAAAGGGTGGTGCAAATAGTAATCTCCAGTGTATGTGAGAAGGGGCAAAAGGTGTGTTGCATTTGACCATAGCCAAGTGGGAGAAAGGACCATAGCAGTGTTAGTCGAGAGATGTGGGGAGAGGAAGTAAGGTTGGGACTAGTTGAATTTGGATTTCTAGTTGTAGGTCTCTCCCAAGTTCCTAAGGGTTGTTTTTTTTCCTTGTTGAACGCTAATGTAGTTGATGTCTCTTTCATATCTCTTTTTTATTGAATCCAATTTGCCTCTAGAAGCTTTGAACCCTAATGTCAACAACATTCAACAGTCTTCCTATTGTGTTCAGCCTGGTCTGCAACTAAACCCAGCAGTGGTGCTACTGCTCTGAGTAGTCTAGTGCTGCTTTTCTTGCATCTTTTCTATTCTGGTCTATTTTTTACTCATGTTGATGCATGACATTCTTGTGGAATATGGATTATGATTTGTGAGTGCTACTTTATTTAAGTGCGTTTATTGATTTGAAGGTTTTTTCTCCTAATTTATGTTATTTTATATGCATAATATAAATTTATATGCATTTATATGAATTTTGTAAAATCTTACGATTTGGTTTACGATTTTCACTCCCCTTTACAATTTAAAGTAAAATTCCTATTTTAACTACCTTGACGCTTGCACTCATGGAAAGCAGATTGAGAGTTTGGAGCAAAGTCTTACGGAAATGTAGGTTGTGAATCTGTCAGCAATGAGTGACTTCAAGGAGAAGATTTGGCAACTTTTGCAGCAACAGGATCAGTGTTGTCAAAATCGTGATCTTCTTGAGGCTCGAGGATCATAATCACATGTGAGGTTGGAACCTGTTGGGTTTGCAGTGAATCATGATCTTTCTCCTTGAGATCGTAGGATCTACGATTAGATCTGATCTTTTTCGGGTCAAATACAACGGTTTTCCATTGTGTTGCAGTGGTCAGCCACTATTTGAAGCTCTTTGTGTTGTGTTTTAGTATGGCAGCTGTCGCAGACGCTATAGCAGTGGAAATCGCAGCTTTTCACACGGTCTTAGCCACTACTGTGCAATATTTTAAAAACCCAAAATTGTCCTAATTTTTTGAAGTTGCAGAACCATGTAATTAGGGGTATTTTGGAGTTTTTAGGTTGAAACAAAAAAGGGTTTAAATGGTTTTAAAAAAACAAAGGCTTTAAATGGGTTTAAAAAAACCAATCGGGCCTCTTCACATTTTTGCACCCTAATTTCTCTAACACTCTAGTATTGTGTGACCATCAACTCAATGATCTCCGGTGATCAGCTGGTGTTTTCCAGCTAGGTTCTGATGTTTTTGGCAAATCACTGTTCTTTGACCCTTGATCTGCATTTTCTGCCTCTGTTTTTCCCTTTGTTTTTTTACTGTCCCACACTGCAAGTTATTCTCCTCTCATTGTCCTTTTTTCTTTTTCTGTTCTTATCTTTTCTGTGTTTTATTGATTTTGGTTTCCAGCTATTTTGTTCCTTTTTTTATTTAGTCTCGATCTCTCCCTATTCAGTTCTAGTTTTATTTGGTCTTTAATGTTTTGTTACTTTAAGGCATTGAGTTAGAGGATAAAACTTGTTTATTTCTTTGTTTTTATTGTTATATATTTTTGTTAACTAGAAAATGTCATGAATTGTTAGTTAAATTATATGATTTAGAGGTTAATTTCTTTATCTATTATTTTCTATTCTATGGTATATGTTCAAGTATAGCTTTGTATGTTTGGTAAGATCTTACTATCTATTTTGCGATCTCATGATTTGTGATCTTTTACCCCTCTCCCCTCCCAATCCTAAGTAGGATCCCGATCTTGACAACATTGAACAAGATCACAAACATTGGAAGGGATGTTTGTCCCACAGACATAGTCGATCTCGGAAGTAATCTGAACTCGAGTGTCAGGGTCCTAATCTCTAGACAGCGAGAAATTGATCTTTGGAGGACAATAATTGGAGATTCTAGTTCTCAATGGGGGACTATTGAGAGTTTGGGTTGGCCCTTCTCTTGTATGATTATGCAGGGTTTTGGTTGTCCCTTCTATTGTGCTCCATGAGTTTCTTCATTTCTTTAGTGTATTTATGGTCTACCCCATTGCACCCCTCTGTTGTTCTGCTACTGCATCTCCTCTGTGAAGAGTTATTATTATAATTGGGGTTGAGTTTTAATTAGACTATCGAGAGTATATGGGCTGGGCCCCAATGTACTTTGTACTACATTCTCTCTGTCTCTGACTCTAAGACATTGGGAGACTGCATTTTACAGTCATCCCATTACAGGTAGATTGCATTGGGAAATCCATGAAGTTCACTTTTGGACAATTGAGGATGGCCCGATATCAAATCTACAATAGGCTCAGATATCATCTTGAATTTCAGCTATAGACCTAACTCCACCCTCAAAGACCCCTCTTCCCTATCAGCTAGACCTAATACAGCCTATAGCTCTTTTTACAATCTGTAACAGATAAACCATGATAAAAACCTGAAGCAATCTTCTAACTATACTAACAGATTCATGCCTAATCATTCCCTGTTCTCCTAACTATTATCATCACTTTCATGCTGTAAGATCAAAGACTAAGGACAGGTCTCTGGTTTGTGAATCAAACCAGGCAAATGTTTTCCTCAACATTTGGTTGATTATTTTGTTGCACCTACCAAAATGATGGAAAGTAAATTTAAATCTCAAAATTATGCTCCTTAGCTTTTCATTCTTTAAATTTTGAGAACAGGAAACACAATTTGCAAAGTAAAAAATGTAAAAAAGATGAGACAAATGCACTGTAATTGATAAGACTCAATGAGGGGAGGCAAAGTAGAAAAGTCTTCTCTTCAGTTTGCATGTTAAATAGTACGGCATAGTAAACAAGTTTTCAGGTTTTGCAAGGGCCCTAGAGTGGACTCAATTTTGCGTGTTCCTATTCCTTGATATCTGAATTTTGTATCAACTTCAGTTTTGTATAAAAATAAAATGTAATTAAGTTTCATGCTTTCTCATCCTCATGCAGAGATGATTATGAAATGTTGTTGGCTCTTGATGAGGGAAATCACCAACATACTGGTGCATCCGCCTATCAGATCAATAGTTTGCCACAGTCCACTGTCCAGGTAATTCAATTAGTTTTCCATTTTAAAGCTGAAATCCCCAGCCCTTACGGTTCATTTTTATCCTCAACCTTACATGTTCTTCTGTCAGAATTTCTGCTTAGGGGCAGGGAACCAGGTAAGGTGAAAAATAGGGGCTGTGGGAAATTGTGATTTAGGTTTAATGCTGATATATGTTCTCATTCATTTGTTACAGACTGACAACTTTGCAGAGGCTTGTGCCATATGTCTTGAGACCCCAGTAAAGGGGGAAAGTATTCGCCACCTTCCTTGTTTGCACAAATTTCACAAAGATGTGAGACCATTAAATGAATATATTTATTTGCTTTTATATTGAGATTGTAAAATACTAATGTGCATTATTATGCGCTATGGCAGTGTATTGATCCTTGGCTCCGTAGGAAAACATCATGCCCTGTGTGCAAGTCATCTATTGCCTAATTCATTTTGGGATTAAATGGTTGATTTACTGTGCTGCAGTGTGTTATCTCAGCCGTCTCATTTTGTCTTTCAAGGTAAAGCAAAAGTTGAAATTGTAATAGACATGCTACCTTCCCAGCGTGCTAATTTATCTTCTGAACCGTTAGATATTAAAAAATAAATTGCAATGATGGAAAAATTTGCAAGTTGGTAACTTTTGTGGTGCTGATATGTTGTTACTGTCTTTTGAATTATGATTAGTTTTGGGATATGCATGCATGTGACACGACTGTTCTCTGAATCACGGTGTTTGTATTTGAAGTTTTGAACTTCTACTGCTGGTTGTAATGAAGTCTGCAAAGCAGTGGCAAGTTTGAAGGCCTTATTATTTCTTAAGACAGATGAGCTACAAATATTTTGGTTGACGGAAACATGATTTGTGATGGCAGCTATCCTGGGATTCAAAGTTAATTTGCATGTGGTTATAGTTAAACATGTATCATACAAACTGCACTGGCAAGATCGTGGCTATTTTTCCATTTTGAGGGCATGCTGCTTGCATATAATGATCCACATTGAGGCCATGCCAAGTGCAAAGTAGCATAAACCCAGTTATCACATTTTTTATTTGCCTCATCCGGTTGGGTAATATACCCTTGAAAATAAAAGAAAAATAAGGCAATTGAACTTGATAGTGCAATATAAAACAAAGGTGGATGTTTTGACAATCTTGAAGTATATAAATTAGATTCGGTTTTGTTTATTATATTTTTAGGATGAAAAATTGTTAAAATTTATACAATCATTATATACAACGGAGGAGAGAGGTGAAGAAAAGAAGTAGAATTGTGGTACTGGTTGATGTGATGAAGAGGGAAAAAGTAATGTATAAATTGATGAATAAAATTCTATGGAGATTATAATTCTATAGAATGTGGACAGCGACAAATATATTATATATGTAGTCGTTAATTCAACAAAAGTAAAAAATAAGCTAAGATGTTAAAATCCTAAAGGTTCGCCAGTGACAGTGTGTTATTATTATTTTTTTCATTGACTTTCGTCGTAGGTGTGTTATTATTTATGTTGATGACGTCCCTGAAAGTGAGGCCTATCCATTTACGTATTTTAGCAATGGGAGTTATTATTTATGGCATTTACTCTTTAAAATTTTTGTAACAGTTATCTCAAATATATTTTTTAATTCCACCCCCCTCCCTTCCTTGTACAAGAACCCGTTCACCCTGACTATTGACTAGTGTTCAAGAGTGGCAGGGGGTGTTGTGATTTCATAGATGCAAGGGATATTGTTTGCAAAATTAAAAGTTATAAAAAAGGATTCTACAGTTTCTATATCCAAAACTATGATTTTTTCTTCATATGTATTTAAATTCGTCTTTAGTTATTTATATATTTTTGTCCTCTCCATCCATAAATTGGATTGTTATTCAAAATGAGTGTTATTACTGCTATTAATGATAAAATTAGGTATAAAAATGAGGGGTAAATGAGAGTTTCATTTTATTTTATGATAAAAGATTTATTCTAAAACTATTTTAAAGACAAAATATGAAGACACAGAATTTCACGCCTGTAGTTTTTCTTAAGAAGATTACTGACCTATTTATCTCTTGTAACATTGAAAAACAAAATGTTCAAAAATCTTTTTTTTTTCAATCGGTCATGATTCATTAAAATATGAAATAAATTTAACTGTTAGTTTAAAATTTTTCATCAAATATACCAACTTTATAAAATTTATATAAAACTAAAATAAATATGTATTTTATAACATTACTTTATTTCAATTGATAATGTTTTTAAAATATAAATAATTATCAAATTTTAGATATACGTAAAATTTGATATGTAATATTAACGGATGTTGACTTTTTTTTTTTTAAAACAACAGAAAAGGAAGAAACTTCTCACATTTTGAATGGCAACAAATTGATCTTTTTTATTTGGACAGAAGTTCCATGAGAAGTTTCAACAAAAAACAAAACAAAAATTTATGAGAAGTTGACAAATTGAACATGAGAATTGTTTAAAAAGTAGTGTGGGTTGGCCCAAACTGAGGAATTACATAAATTAATATGCAATAATTAGCCTTAGCATGCATAAAAAATTTCTTGTTGCATCCCCAAACTTTTTTAATTGTAATGTCCAATTTTGAAAGTGATTCATATCTCAGGAAGAAATCTGTTCTTAAAGAGACTTATCGCTGTTTTTTTCTTCTATAGAGAATTTTTTTAAAAATAATGGCAAATACTATAAAGAAATACAATTTTATATTTTTTTTAAATTAAAATTTCAAATATAAAAATGTCAAAATTTTAAAATAATATACTGTATATTTAATATTAAAAAATATACTTGCACTTATCATTTTATTTGTTGAGACGTTTAGAAGAATAACTAAAAGAATAATAATTTCTTTTTCTTATTTTAGATTTTTTAACATTTTTTATTTTACTTTTCCCTGACATTTGTGAATCAGAATCTCGCTTAACAACAAATTTATTGACACAAATTAACACTGAATTTGTCTTTAAAGGCCTACTATATATTGAATAGTTTATAAAATGTGTTTTCACGACCATTTATGCTAGTATTATTTTTCATACACAATTTTAAATTTAAATAATCCTCCACTCATATATCATCAATTGTAACAAAACAACCTCATAAAAACATACCACATAAAGAGAAATATTTAACTCAACTCTAATAATTGACATTGTGTATCATTGCTTCTATTTCTCACTTTTTTAAAAAAAATCTTTTCTATATACATACATTCCAAAAGTATGTTCACTTTCAATATTACATCAAAGATTTTCCCTAAATTATTTACCTCCTGCTCCAACGAATGCAAGGTATCCTCCTTTTCTCTTCAATTGATTATTCCCTCTGCATGAGACAGCATGAGCATGTCCTCCCATTGACTCATACAAAACTATAGGCTTTTGCATGTTATACAGCATTGGTCTCCTTCCCTTTCATTTGTTTTCTTATGTTGTAGCAAAATCATTCATAAAAATTGAGTTTTTTTGGAGGAAGACAGACAACTTCCTCTTCTCTGCATCCAATATACCTTTACCCGTTTATCCAAAATTAGAGACAAAATTGTTTGTTACTAAATCATTGGCCGCAAATTGATGAGAGATGACATTTTAATTCTAACTCTAATAGAAACAAACTTTTATCTCTAAATTTAATGACATTTTTGCCTTTAATTTTTATCTTTAAATTTAAAATATTTTCATCCTTGAATCAGTCTTTTAAGTTCAATAACTATTTTGTCTCTAAATTCAAAAAAAAAATCTATCTATAAATTAAAGCTCTTTTGCATCTCTAATTTGGTCTTTAACTTTGTATATATAGTTAACAAATATTTAAATTTTATATCTATTTTATACATATTTTTCTACTAAATTATTTTATATCATACTAAAATTATCATATTTTAAAATCACAAAAAAAAACTTAAATTTGAAATACTATATTTGTATATTCATAACATAAAATATAACATTTCAAACACATATCTTTAAAATATAAAATTCAAAATACACCTACAGATATAAAAATTATCATTAATAATTATAATTAAGTTTAAACAATATATCATTTGTAATAATGATCAAAGAGTCAAGCTATTGTGATAATCTAAATCATATCATCATCATTACTTTCATTTTGATCCTCTTATATAAGTCTATCAAACGGTTGCTCTTATTTTTTTATTTTCTTGTTCATCCTTTCCTACTTAATGTTATTTTTCTTGAAGTTTAAGACTAAGAACCTAAATAGTAGACTTTAGTTGAACCACCTATTTTGCTTATACACCTTCCATAGAGTGAAGAATAATGTAGATGATGATTCTATGACTTCAGTAGCTTAGGACCAAATCCATATATGTGCCCTCTCTTCCTAACAACTCCAACAACCTCTAAGTATATGATGTTATCATATTGTTGATTTCTACTTTCACCACTTTGAGACTCCCTCAACTAGGCAAATTTTTATGTAAAATCAACATATTTCAAATCATGTAACTTAAGTTTTTATGTCATACATTGTTAAGTGTTTTAAATTTATGTTTTTGGTCTTAATTTAGCACTCTTTTAGGAAAAGACATAAATAATCTTGGGTTTCATATTTAACCTCTAAATGGATAAATTAATCTAATTCAAGAAGTCACAAGAGTGGTAGTGTTTTGATTTAAAATATCTCTCATTTTGTATAGAATTTGATGAAGTCTAAAATACAACGCTACAGTCCCAAATCCACAACTGCAGCCAAGAAATTGTGTAATAAAAGGAGGATTCCAGGGAGTTACAACCATGGCTTTGAATCTGCAGCTGCAACTGTGAGAAAATAAAGTAATTAGGGCAATCCAGATCTCTAAGATGCAGCTGTGAATTTGTAGCTGCAGCAGTAAAATTAAACTTCCCAAATTTCTCTTATTTTGAAGATTGGTATAAAAGGGATCTTGGAGAGAGAAGACAGAAGAGACATGCAGAGATTGAGAGAGAGAGTGTATGTGTGTGTGTGTGTGTGTAACACCTTGATTTAATTTTTAAGTAAATAAATTTCACAAAAATGGGAATAATAAAAGTTTTCATTTAAATAATTTCCAACACATAGTTTCATTAAAGTATCTCAAAATTAGAATGGATTACAAGTTTATATCAAATGACTGCTGCAGGACTAATTCAATTACATCATTTTTTCAAAATAAGTAGTCTAAGTCCTATAGTAGTGTCATCCATCCCTTCACCGAGCTTGGTGTTGATTGTCTTGGTCACCTGAAAAATAAATGTAAGGGTGAGAGTACTCTACACTATCACACACAAGCACAAAGACTCACCTTGCATGTTCCAAACATTTCATAATTTAATTTACATCACTTATTACAATCACACACACATCAAGGCATATATCAATCATTTATACGTGTACGCTCATTGTACATGAAAGTAAATCACATCAATTTAAACATGGATGTGCTCACTGCACCTCCAATCAATCCAAACACACACACACACACACACACGTGCGCTCACTGCACATTAGCCGTGCTCACTGTATGTTAGTCACGCTCACTATGGCACTGTGATCACAGTTTTTCTGATGCCTTCAACCTCAGAGACTTACTCAGTTTTCCCACCATGGATGGTCACCGGATAGCCCCCGCCTCACGAATACAACGTGTGCAGTCATGGGCCTCTTAGCAAAAGTGTTAGTCAGAAGCCGAGTCAGGAGAAGAGTGTGTGGCCTGTAGTGCACCCACGCTCACTGTCAATGTCGACACCACCCTTTCTTCCCTAAGGTATTTCTATTGCCCCATCTTTCACACCCAATATATTGTTGAACCATTCATAGCTTCCAACATATTCAAACATAATCACATTCACTATTCATCATGCCTTCCACACACACATTTCATTTATCTCATTATTCATTTTCAGTCAAAGGCACAAACACCCATATTACATAATATTCAATCACACAGTTTTCATTATAATCTCCCTACCATCATTCATTTCATCACACACAACACCCACCACATCTACCACATTATACTCAAACATCAATCACATGAAATTTCTATCTCAATACAATTATAATCAAGCCATTCTCATTAGATACACATCTTCCTACATCC